CGCGGGGCGGCTGTCGCGGGGCGGCTGTCGCCGTGCGGCGCTTCAACAACTGTCCTGCGTCTGACCTCAAAGTGCACAAGCTTCAGACTTCAGCGTTGGCTGCGATTTTGAAGCTGAAATCGCGTTCGGTGTGAACGCACCATTAGCTTACCGTCCTCTGTCACCTTGCCCTCTTGTCATTGCAGGATGTAGTTTTCTGCATTTTTCTTTTGAGTTTGATGTAGTTCATTGTTGTTGTGTCACAAATAAATCAAAAATAAGTTACACATGTTTTTAATATTATGATCCCACCCACATGGAAGCGTGACTCTGCTCAAAGCAAACACAACCAGGGTCGGAGTAGAATGAGGCCAGACTGACTGGGACCGGGCCTTACAACACAAAAAGATGTGTCCCTGTGCTGGACTTGTAACCTGTGCAGGGTCTCCCTCACCCCTCACAGACAGACTGCTGGACCTGGGCACCAGTGATCCTAAAAAGAAGTGAGCAAAAGATAATAGATGGATAGATTTACAGACTTTTTCGTCTACAGTTAATATTTATCACAGAACATGAAAAGACAAATGTCTTAAAAATGGCTTTAACTAGGAAAAATTTTGAGTCAAATCAAGTATTTCAAGAATCTTACCAAGTAAAATTTTCTTACTCCACGGGCAGAGTTATTTTTCTCTAAATGTCCAGGCTAACAAGACAAATATAATCTTACACGTTCTGAAAACTAGATTATTAATCTGATTTAGTTTTTGTTTAGTAAATCAGTCTCTAAACAAGATCAAAAAGAATTTTTGGTTGGATATAGGATTTTAAAACTTGGTTAGATGGACAGTTTTTGCAGTGCAACTCCATCATTTCTCATCATGTTAGATAGGTTGAAGGTGATATGCACCCCTTCAAAGAATGCTATAACTTTAATTAGGCTTTGCATTTAACTATTGATTTGTATGCATTTTCTGCATTTTTTTCCCTGGATAGTTAATGGTCCAATTTACTTGTTTATTGATTGATTATTGAAATGCGTAGCTCTAAAATTAAATAATGTGCATCAATACAAACAGGCAGTAAACCAGGGATTATATTCTCACTCCTGGCCTGTTTTATTGCAGAAACACGTGGGATAAAAACATAAATGGGCCACTCAGCTGACTTCAGTCTTAACTCTTCTCACGAATCAGCCTACAATGATTTACTTTACACACATTTCTACATCCCTCCACCCCCCACACGCCCGAGGGTCCGCAACCAATGAGTGGTCAGAACTTCACAGGACCTTATTTAAGACGCAAAGCGGCTGAAGGTGGCTCAGATGACAGCTCTGTGCGCTCAGGAGGACCCGAGCAGAAACTGGTCCCGGCAGGCTGTGGTTCACTTCAAGAAAACATTTTCCCCCTCAGCAGGAATAATCAGTGAGAGATGAGCGCGTGGCAGGTTCGGGTTCTGTTTGTCGCAGTTCTGAATGCAGCTGTGCAGCACGGAACCTCCCTGGAAGAAGAGCTCGCCGATTCTATTTTAGGTGAGTTGAACTTCATCATTTATCAGAGCTACTTTCCAGGATTAAAGAAAGGAAGCAACAGCTTGTGGATGGAGTGTAGAAATGTGTGCAAAAAGTGCTTCACGTGAGCTGCATGAGTGTTGAATTTAGACATAAATAAACTTTAATCATCTGTGATGCAAACACTACCCTCTCCTTGTGTTAAACTGAAGGCCTGCGGGCCAAATCTGGCCCTCATTAACATTTTATCTGGCTTCAAATTTAACACTTTAAATGTGAAATAGTTTTATAGTTTCTACTTTTGTCATTGTATTTAACATGTTCTCCTCATGAAAGCTGGCCAACTTTTAAGCCAAGAAATTCAAGTTTAAATTTTTCAGTAATCTTTGATTGAAGAGGAACAGAGCATCAACTTTAATGATTATTTTTTATTCTAGTATTTCTTTTAAATTCAAGTAATTGAAATTTAAGTAAGGATTTTCCTATTTTATAACTGATTTACTGAATTGTGAAAAAATGTATCTAAGAAATAATAAATGAAAAATGTTGGTAGAGAGTAAGGCATAGTGAATGCTAATGATGTGTTTTTCTAAATTTAATCTTTTTTCTTTATCCAGTCGCTTAATCATGTTCTAAATACTACATAATATATAATTAGAAAAAGGTAATTTGTATTTCTATAAGAATAATTTGTTATATAAAATTTATTCGATAAGAATTGACTCTTGTCTTGAAACTAGTGTAGAATTTCTTGTGTCCCTGAGTTTGACACCCCTGCTCTAAATTGTCCTTAGGTGTGGGTGAGAGTGTGAATGGTTGTTTATTTCTATTGGCTTTTTTTGCACCACAAGGCCCAGCCTGGGTTCAAATCCAGGTTCGCAGTGTTTGCATTAGCCCTTATAGCCCAAATCACCCCCATTTCTGGAACCCAGGTGGTGTGTGTGTGTGTGTGTGTGTGTGTGTGTGTGTGTGTGTGTGTGTGTANTAAGAATTGACTCTTGTCTTGAAACTAGTGTAGAATTTCTTGTGTCCCTGAGTTTGACACCCCTGCTCTATTCAAAATGATGGTTGATTTATTCTTATTGGAAATCCAAAAATGAATATTGAAGAAGCAAAATTTTGCAGCTCTGCAGTTTTCAGATAATCCAAATGTAATCATATGCAGACTGGCTCCTAAAATGCTTGCAAACTCTATGAATCCTTATAAAATATACACCCAGTCTCCATCTTAATACCAGCAACCCCCTGGTTAAGATTGGTTTGTTGTCCGATGTCAGAAACAGTCATGATTTGACTCTGTGGAGGCCAGACCTGACCAAGTGACCCCTCTGAACTCTGACCTTATCTTAAGCCCATTTATTGAGAAGCTCTCAGTTAATGGAGAGTTTTAGTCAAGCACATGGGTCTGCAACCTTTACAATCAAAAGAGCCATTTCTGCTCCTTGTCTCACTAATAAAATGTGTCCACAGCCACAAAACAAGCTGCAACTGTGATTATCAACTGGTGGTCCGCGGGCCTTTTCAAGGCCTTCTCAGGAACCTTCACGGTCAGTGGAGGTGACAATATAAAACTAAAAAATATTGCTATCATTATAGTATTATTTATTATTATACATATTAGGACAAATAAAAAGACCATATTCATGTAAACAAGAAAAATACTGAATATTATTTATACCGAATTTCAAAAAAACTAGTACAACTGAATTATTAATTTTTTCCCTTCTAATTCTTCTTATTATGTAGTCTTCAAATTATTTAAAGGTAATTCTGATGGATTTGAGAAAAATAGGCTGTATTATTTAAGTAAACAACAGGCTAGCATGAGCTAACGTGTTTTACTTTTTTATGAGTAGTATTGATCACATATTTGCATACAAACTGATTTCTGTCGTGGGTATAAACACACAAAAAAAATACTAAAAAAAGCTATTTATTCTGTTATGTTTGGTCACATATTTAAAGAGCCACTGCAAAGGGACCAAAGAGCCACATGTGGCCCCAGAGCCACAGGTTGTAGACCCCTGGTCTAGCATCTCAGACAGAATACCTGATAAGATGTAAATATCTGCATTTTAAATAAAGCTGAAGTTTTAAATATAACATTCTCAAATAGCTAATTTTTAAATCTCATCCATCAGGTAACTTCCTAGACACTCTAAAAGACTCGTCAGATCACCAACGCGGCAGCGATGCGGCGATAGCTAAATTCTCCCTCCGTAAACCTTCCCATCCTGATGATGACCTGTGCTATATTATTCCCAACAAACCAGCCTCTCTGGCTGCCTGCGCCTTTAATAGCACATCCAAAACCTTCATGGTGATCCATGGATGGACGGTAAGCAGAACTCCTTCTGAATGTCATTTTATTATCAAAGAGCTTGTTTTAAAACTGAATGTTCTGTCATTGCAACAGCTGAGTGGCATGTTCGAAAGCTGGATGCCAAAGTTGGTGTCAGCGCTGTACGAGAGGGAGCAGACGGCCAACGTCATCGTAGTGGACTGGCTCAGCTCGGCCCAGAACCATTATGTGATCGCAGCTCAGAAGACCAAAGCTGTAGGACGGGAGGTGGCTCGCTTTATCGACTGGATCGAGGTGCGTTGGATCAAAAAATCAGAATCAGTCAACTGCATCTTTTTTGTTTACTACTGACATAAATCCCCTTTGAACTGTCGACGTTTGGGACCAGAAAGATGCTTAGTACCCGTTTCTTTCATATTAAGCTGCTGTGTTTGAAGGACATGTGCTAACTAAATGGTACTGTTAGCTTCAGAAACAGCAAGAATGTTAAATCAGTATTGTCTCAGATATTTGTCTTATTGTGTTTTGTTCAACTCGTGTTCTGTAGGAAACTGCCAACATGCCTCTTGACAACATCCACCTGATTGGCTACAGCCTCGGGGCTCATGTGGCAGGATTTGCAGGCAGCCACGCTACCAATAAAGTTGGAAGAATTACTGGTAAACAAAGACACCTCATACAATAAAACATATTTCACAATTCACTCACTGGGGATCACTTGGTCACTGATGTCCTTGGCTTGGCCTGAAGGTCTGGATCCTGCTGGTCCGGACTTTGAGGGCAAACACGCCCACAGACGCCTCTCTCCAGACGACGCCCACTTCGTGGACATCCTCCACACTTTCACACGTGGCTCCCTGGGACTCAGCATCGGAATCGAGCAGCCCATCGGCCACGTGGACATTTACCCCAATGGAGGCAGCTTCCAGCCGGGCTGCAACCTCCGGGAGGCCCTGGAGAAGATCGCAAACTTTGGAATGTTTGGTAAATCAAATGTTGATTTTCTGTCATATGTACTTTGTAAGGAAATTTGTGTTTGGTAATTTTTTTCTTTGTTGTAATGCTTCTTGACAATAAATCTTATAACGGGCACCTGATTGGCTGCACCTGGAGATACAAGAAGCTCATATGTCAATAGCAACGGCAGAATGAGCTGTTTGACAGAGAAATTTTGACAAATTTTTAATTTGTGCAACACAACTCGTCAACATATTGATGCTTGGTCAGGTAGCCGTTTGTGTCCAGTTTTGGACACGTCGAGTACCCCTTCGCATCAGTTCTTAACAAGATGAAAAGGAGGAGGAGTGCGTTGTCATTTTTGAACAGAGTAGGAAATGGTCAAAAACTAACCATCCCACACCCTAAATTCAACTTTTATCAGGCATATACAGCCTATCCTCGACCTCAGTACCTCCAATTAAACCTTAATCCTGATCCTTCATATTAACCACTGACCCCCAACCCGAAGACCCCTATGTGGCGAAACCTGGAAAAGCCACGGACGGCAATGACTGACGCGAGGGGGGTACCCAACGCGTCAAAACTGGACGCAGATTTCACCTGAGCAAGGGTCAATATGTTGAGTCGGGAGTGAGAACGTGTTGCACATACTCAGCTCTACCGCCCAGCCCACAAATGCATGATCCTTACAAATGTGGCACCATTTAAAAGGGAATCTAAAAGGCTTTCTGACAGTATAAGATTTATTGCTAAGAAGTATTGTTACAACAAAGAAATAATCTACTAAACACAAATTTCTTTACTTTTTTGTGCTAAGTTTATACTATCACTATAGTCTGTTTAGTGGAAGTATTTTAAACCCTTTTGTATTTTCTTCACATTTTGCTTCCAAAGAGCCACATTTTGTTGTGATTTCCTGCAGTGATCTTTATCATCAATCAGCTCATCAGGTTTTCTGAATGTTGTAGCCATTGCGACTTAAGATAAATATAGAATGAAGAAATCTATACGGAGCAGTTGAATAATACTGTAAACTCAGATCTACCGTATATTAAAAAAATCTGACATGAACTCATGAACACACATTCAAATGGTATTGTCTTTAGTGAATACCATTGAAGAACCCGTCCAGAGGACCTATACAATTTTTTTCCTTTTGTCTTTAGTATTTTACATAAACACAACTCAGGTTGAGCCCCTGTGATTTTCTCTAAGCCTGAATGATTTATGGGTCAGCGTTAGGCGACCAACAAAACATTCCTCTGTAAATGGTCAGGTATTCAGCAAAAAACTGAGTGAAATACAGTATCAGTCAAAGTTCAAGAAAAGTCTTCAGAAAGCCTGATGAAATATTGGACCAGTTTAAAACCTAACAAAACATTCTGTCTCATTGATTTAAGACTTTTACATTGTTTTTTGCATTTTTAATGTTAAGATTAATGAGCTTTTGACATCACATTTTAAAAAATTATAATAATTCAGGAGTTACGTTTTAACCGTAGTTTTTAACCTCACAATTAAAAACTGCATTTGCCAACATTTGTTGTATTTTATACTTAAAGTCCATTCCAATAATTAACTGACTTGTTACAAAAAGATGTCCATGCACTTTTTAATTGCATGCATGCAGTCTGTCAGCTTCAGTAATAACATATTTACTTTGCTTTTTGTCTTTAAAATGTTATGTATGTAATCCTCTGTGTGATTTAAGGGTCTCCTGCTTGTCTCTTCAGCTATCACCGACGCAGTGAAGTGCGAACATGAGCGCTCCATCCACCTGTTCATCGATTCGCTGCTAAACAAACAGGGAGTGGCCAAGGCCTACAGGTGCGGCAGCAGTGACATGTTCGACCGCGGCATGTGTCTGAGCTGCCGCAAGAGCCGCTGCAACACCGTGGGCTACGATGTGAGCAAAGTCCGGAGAGCTCGCCACGTTCAGATGTACACCAAGACCCGAGCTTCCATGCCTTTCAAAGGTCAGGAGCCCCCCCCAAAAAATTTAATCTGGAGCTGAGTTAATGTTGTAATCTACATGCATGTTAATCAGCTTCCTAAATATTTGCAGTTTACCACTATCAGATGAAGATCCACTTCTCCAGTAAAGTGAATATTTCAGAGATGGAGCCTTCGCTCACTGTCTCGCTTTATGGAACCAAAGAAGAGGCTGAAAACTTGGAGCTTAAGCTGTGAGTAAGCAGTTTGAAAGCTTAATCAAAGATCTTTCAAACACACGCATAATAAATGGGTCAATATACTGTATGTTGTATATTAAAAACAAACAAACACACTTATCATGCTTATTGACTAGGATAACAGTGAAAGTATTTTTTTTATCTTGTCAGAAAGGATAAACTAGTGACAAAAAAGACACAATCCTTCCTGCTGGTGACAGAAAAAGACATTGGGGACTTGGTGAGGCTGACGTTTAGGTGGAAGGAGACAAACAGTTGGTCAGCCTCCAACCTGCTGAAGATGGTTTCCTCCTGGTGGTCTGGTGACTCCGACGGAGCCGATGTGGAGGTTCACAAAATTCGCATCAGAGCTGGCGAGACGCAAGAAAAGTAAGTTTAAAAATAGTTTGTAAATTTAGTTTTGCATGTTTCTAGGGATTATAATTATTGTCACCATTTAGAATAACATTATTATGAATAGACTAGATAATATGACCCGTAATTGTTGAACCTGGTGCATTAAAGATCAGCACATGGAAAGGGGTCATATTTACAACAATTAAACTATAAACAGCAAATTCCTGCTTAAAAACATTACTTAGATAACGGTTTCCTACTAACTTTAACTAAAGTGCAACCCTGAAAGTGTTTATTTTCTGATCAGCTGAGCATAAATTATGTCCAGCGCGAACATAATGTAGGCTTAATTTGAGTTTGGGGCTGTTTAGCAAGTGTTAGCATACAGTCATTAACATTTACCTTGAACATATTGATTTTCTCTTCAGTTATTATAAAATTAAGTCTAATGTGTACAACATAGGTTTAATTTGTGTGCATTCCTAATTAGCTAACCATTTAAGCTAGTGTACTATCTATTATGAACCACTACTGCTAATTAGCAGGTGTTAGCGTAGCCTATCCTAACATTAGTATTTATTTTAAAGTTATCACTAAATGGCTGTATTCACCACCTGTTAATGGCACTGTTAATTGAAGAGACATTTAAGATTAACAATATTTTCCTACATCTCTTTTTGCAGGATGGTGTTTTGTGTAAAAGACCCCAACAATCAAAGCCCATCTCAGGAGGTCACGTTTGTTAAATGTCAGGGTAATTGGAGAATGAAATCAAAAGGAATAATGAGGTGAGTTTGTTTTTGCATTTGTTGCCAACACATCGCTGTGAGAGCTGCTGTATAACCATGACTTTGATTTTGTTCACAGAGTCTCACCAGAATCACAGACATGAAGAAACAATACCCTTTTTTGTCGACGTCAGCACATAATTTATATAAAATTTATTCATGTCAATTTCTCAGATACATAAAACCTTTGTATAGAGTTGTGTTATTGAAAGATGGATGTAAATACTGTATATTCTTTTGTAAAAAAAAGACTGTTTATTATACATAACTGTAAAAATACTGGGATTTATGATGGTCAAAGATGGTCTGAATAGATTAATAATAATAATCAAGGAAAGATCAGGAACATTCACATTCTGCTACTTTCATTTAGAAACAACTCTTTAAAATAATAATAATAATATATTTTTTTTGTTTTAATGACAAGAATGACATTGTGACAAATAAAACTCAAACTGTTTTCAAGTGTTTCAACACAGAGGTGAAACAGAACTGTAGCAGAATTTTATTTTTTTAATGAAATGTAAGTGTGAGAAGCCTGAGGACTGGACATTTTATATTTAATTTTGAAGGTGTGTTATCTTGTTAAAAAATACCTCATGAAATGTAAAAGGGAACCACTGTCATACAGACTTCCGTCTTTAAAGGAAAAAAATGAACTGTGTAAATTTAACCAATGTGTTCTTTTATTTTTATTTTTTAGGGCCTTAAAGCAATATGATAGAATTGTTTCACCTGTTTGTGTATCCTAAAAGAGCAATAACAACTGTGGCACCATTTTTTTGTGGATTTTCCCACCAATTTTCACTTTGCATTATGCTTGTTTCATGACATTTTACAAAAACTATTGTTTTGTGTTGGTCTTGCATGGTAGGTTTTATTACGGTACACCACTAAAATACGACATCCGTCACCTCAAAAGCTGCCACACGTACCTCTTATAATATGTGTAATTTTTGTGAAGCTCATTGTGAGGTCGAAGTCGAAACTAACATGAATGTTTTCTGTGTGTTGTTTTCTTTGTACGAGTATGTTTTTGTCTGGATATTCACGTTTATTTATAATTACATTTCCACTACTTTTAAAAAATGCATCTTAAGCTTTACAGAGATCGGTACGGCAATCACTGTGACTTTAAAAATATGGAAATGTTGTTTTATGTTTTGCACAACACAAGAATAGAGTGTTGAAGCAAGTTATTTGTACAGTAAATTTTTGTATCCATGTATCAAAAATCTACTTAATACTGCAATCACAACTTTTTTTGAATGTTCAGTGATATAACTTTTAATTATGTGTTTGAAGAGTAGGGTGGGGTGTTTATGTACTTTATTATTAATGGCAAAATGTTTTATTTTATTTTATTTTTCTCTTTCTGTTATTTTCTTTTCTTATTTCTATTACTGTTGGATGTTGTTTTGTTTTTTATTGTCTGGAGGGACAGATGTAAATTTGCCTTAGGCTAAATCTGGTGCAATGCATCAAATGTTTTTATCTTTATGTTTTAACTGCACAATGTCCTGATTAAATAAACAAAATCCAAAAAAAAAAAAAAGGCAAAGAAAATAGATTTATTAATAAGAGATGCTGCTGTAGCTACTCAAATTGATTTGCGGTGTAAAGTGTATGTTTTTATTTCTGTGTATAAAATTGTAAATAGAATTTGTCAGTGCACTGTGTAATTTTTTTAAATAAACTAAATTTGACTATTTTATGTGGTCATATTCAGTCTGAGTAAGCTTCCCTCGTTTTTTATTATTATTATTATTATTATAGATTTTTTAAAGTATTTTTAAGCCACAGACTAACAGCTTAAACTCTCACACAGCCGTTTCTGATATATAAAAGTCCAAAGCATTCTTCGATTATCCAAAACAAGGCGTGCTATTTCTCGATGTCCTCACAGTTGTGACGCCAGCGTGTATTTCTGATTGTGTCAAGGTGACATGGAGTTAACAGCTGCAGATTCAACACACTTTGTTTTTCTTAAAGGTCTGAAGCTAAAAAAATAAATGCTGGAACCAAACAGGCTTCTCTTATCTAAAACTGAAAAGAAAAAAAAAACATTATTTCTGATTTGCATTAGGCTGTATGTTTTATAAAAGCAGGTTTTGCATTAGAGATTGCTAACATGTTCATTGTCTGTTTATTAAAACGTTCTTTAAGAGCAGCTGTAATTCCTGCTTGCATTAAGATGGAAAGCTGGATGGTCTCCAAAACAGAAATACACTCAGTTTAATCTTTGAAGAGACATGGGGCTTTGCATTAAAGTGTCAGAGTATCTAAGCTCTCAGAGAAAAACTGGACTGACCCATCCCACAATTAGCAGAAACATTTTCCACAACACAAGCATCACAGGAGAGTTTCCATGAATAAGTACCCCAAGGAAAAGCAAATGCAGATGCATGCTGACTAACAGATGTATCAGGTGACAGACTAGCATGCGAAGGCCTGAGCAGGTGTTCAGTGACCTCAGAGGTCACTTTCAAATCACAAACTAATGTGAGACAAAAGTTGTTCAAAAGGATCTCAACAACATGGCATAGACTCTTAAAGGTTCCATGTTTTGTGTGTCGTTCTAGGGTGTTGGTGAAAGTGGACATCAAGGGTCAGTCCAAGTCCCGGGTGTTCAGGGTTTGGCCACACAGAACCACTGTGAAGCCCATCACTCCGGACAGAATCAGAATAACCAGCAGGATGACCCACCAATGAGCCTGCAGAAAATAAAGCACAATAACTTTATCATGAAAGTCTGATTGTGAAAGTGTTGCAGAATGTTAATGATGTGAATGTTGTACATAACTCCACAAGCCCCCTTTTCACTCCTTTTCGTTGGTATGTCTCCGATCAACTCATTTTGAGGCTGTCTCTTTAAATTTAAAGGAGGCACTACACACCCTGCCTCCCCTCCAGCTTCCAGAGCGGTCTGTTCAAGTTTGATAGAGTCAAACCAAAGCAAATATGTGAATAAGGCAGCTTGACTTAGCCTGCTGAAAAACCAGCCCAGTTGATAATCAATGGGCCTCATGCAAGAACATGTTCGTATTCTTATCCTAAATTTCTCTTACTTTTGTTCGTACAAAGGGTTCGTACAAACATGTCACGTCAGATTCAACAAACTCTTCTATCTTCAGGAAAAGTGTGTAAATGAGCTGCGTAATTTCCACCTGTTTGTATCCAGCTGCTCGTGCACGAGGAGAGGAGATTAGCATAATTAGCAAAACACCATATAAGGCTGTTTCCTGCCTCAGATATCAGGAAG